AAAGAAAAAAAAAAGAAAAAGAGTATCACCAAATGGTACCATGAACTGAGCCACTTCCATGACTGCTAATCTAGCTCCAAAACCCCCAGATTCACTGATCTCTTTAGAAGTGCACTTAGCACCCAGCTTTTAGCACTTGATAAAAGTTTCACCTTTCAAGTGGAAAATAACTTTCTTCTTCCAGCTACAGAAGTTGACTTTTTAGTATACTCCTAGGTCCAATTATCACACTTCATCTGAAATTCCTGGCACACAGATACAGAGATATCATCACAGAATTATAGACAATATCCCTAGAAAGAATTTTGAGGTCTCTCTCTCACCRAAACTCTTAGCTAGTCACCAGTAAGACCTGCCAGGTATCCACTTCCTATCAATGCTTGATTGATTTTCAAATATTAGAATTTACGAAGTACCCTTTAAATATTTWAAAGTTCCCTGTAAAACCAATCCAGCATATATTTTTAAAAGATATTAATTTTCTTTAATGAAGCTGTAATAGCTTGTGCCCAAAAGGAACTCAGTTTATAACAGCTCTGTAGGAACTTACCTGCCTATCCATAATTCATCATGTAGGATGTGAAATGGTTGGAATTATTTTAACAGCTCTGATATTAAGAAACTATGTTGAAAGTTAATTACTAGAACTCTTAAGATCTTTCCTTTTATGCTCTCTGAGAACCAAGAGCTCCCAATATTGAAAAAATCTGAAGCTATAAAATACAGCTATAAGCAACAATTAATAAAGAACCTAATTTCATCTGTATAGCTCCAAAGAAACAGCTTGTGAAAAAAATAAAAAATAAAATCAGTTAGAAGTATTTTAACTGTTAATGCAGACCTTATAACTGCAAAATACAGGAATAACTGTCAGTTGTGCTACTACAGGGGCAAATGTCAGTTAAARAGGACAAGTCATTCATTATCCTATAAAGTCTAATACTATCATTTGAATAGGAAAAAAAAAAAAAACCCTTCAGCAACTTGAGCAGCATGACTGACATACACTGTGGCGTGCAGCACGGTGGCAGAGCTGGGGCTTTGGGCACGACCGTGCCCTCCCACCAGGGTGCCCAGGTGCCCACCGGATGCTCTCGCAGATGCCACTGAGGAGCCCTGCAGGGACCCGCTGCAGCTGGACTGATCCCTCAGCAGTGCCAGGAGATTCCCACCCCCTGCCAGAGAATTCCCCCCGCTCAGGGAATTTCCCCATTCATCAGTTGTTTCATTGGGGATGCAGGAAAGGTTCAAGAAATGTTACTATACTAGTAATAATAGTAGTCATATTAATAGTAACCAGAACTCTTGAGATAAATTCAGTGTGATTACTGGATGTGAGGGCTTTACAAGAAAAACAGTGGCAAGTTTAAAATATGAAAAGTTTTATTTACTTACAATGTTGTGTTACAGAATTTCTTTAAACTTGTTTTCAAGATGCTCCTTGTGTATTTTTTCTTTCCTTTTGATCAATTGAAGAAAGACTATTATGTAACATTTGGTTCTGTCTACTCCCATTGTCTATTAATAATGATTTTATTTTGGCATACAAAACAGACGTMGTCTAGTAATATTCATGTTAATGCTTCTTTTTTTTTCCTGGAAAAAAAATGACAAGAGCATGATAACTGAATTAAAATTGCTTACAGAATAAACAAAAAGTTTTCCCATACTCAAATTTCCCACTTTTGGTGGAAGGTTCACGAACTGTTGAGTAATTCAAAAACGCTGCTCAATCTCCAGTGTTTAATGGGAGTTTAGCATGCAAAACATTTTTCAGACCTGCAACATGATAAGAACTCGGGCCACAGCTTTCAAAACTGGCTGTGTGCCAGCAATGAGGTTCTCCTGCCTGATTTATGAAGCTGCTGAAAGCCTCGCTCCTCTGGAAGCGGAGCCCACAGCAGCACCTCCACACCTGCAATGCCTACATGGGCATCAACACTACAAATAATTATTCCAACAGCCTCTACGCAGTGCAAACAAGGCCTCAGAACACTAAGCTGGATGAAGTAGCTTTAAAACGGTTATCGTGTGGCAGCTAAGACAGGCTGAAAAGTTATGAGCCTCTCACGACACCACAGGAAAAAAAAAAAAGGGAAAAAAAGTATGCTATTTTAAATGTCTTTCAGTGGGCGAGAACCACAATGAGTTATACAACTCAGCTAAACAAGCCATACTAGTTCACTCGTGTATGTGAGTATAAATCTTTTAACAATTTAAGAGCATTTGAAACAGGAAGAGAGTTTGTTCTGATGCAAGTAAAATATTTTTGTTAAATTTGATAATTCTACTAGAGCCATGGGATATCACAATATRTATCTGGCTTGATTTAAAGACAACAAATGATAAAGCAAACAAAAACAATTCTAAATAAAATGTTATAATATTTTTATGCTGAATTAACCACATGAACACATTTATATTACTTTATTTTTATGAAGTACTTTTAATGAGCTATTTTCTTCCATAAATTATTATTATTATTCTTTACCTTCAAAGCTTTTCCTTTTTCTTGATGATATTTTTGGTATTTTGACTTGTCACCCAAGTGGTTTTCACACAGACAGCTTTTGTGGTTGCTCAATGCGTGACATTACTGCTATGACAACATGACTGCTCAAGTYGCAGTGGAATTTCTTCAGTTTTTCAGTTCCACTTTAAGTCTCTTCTTTCATCTGAAGATTAAGTCTTCTATGCAGTTACGACTTTCATCTTGACTAGGAACTCCAGATATAAGAACCATTAATTCAAAGGGAAACTCCTAAAACTTAGTCTATTTTTGTAACAACTCCAAAGATTTTACACAACGGGGAGATACAGAGAGAGCACATGTAACCCGTTCCCCAGTTCTGCACCTGACYTCTACTGGGCCCTGTAGTTWAGTAGCTAACTCTATTTCAAAAARCTTATTTTAACATCGTTGCATTCARAACTATACTTCTCTTGTCTCTTCACTGATTCATCTTGCTTACTTGCACTATCAGCCAGTTCTTTAGATAGATTCATTAGAAGATAGACCTTGTAGGACGGAAAATGGCACACACTCCTTCCCACCCAAACACACACATATACGTACCCACCAGGAGCGCCTGAGCCTCCGCTGCTGCAGACTGAGGCTTCTCAAGACAAGCACTCTGTTGAGAGACTGCCAAAGGACCCCGAGACTGCATCTGTGAACAAGCAAAACGTCAAAAAAGCAGCAGCGCAGAAACACAAATCATTTCCTCTGGCCCTAGTCATTACAATCTTTGCATTGCTTAGAGGGAAACAGGGCAATTATTTCCCTATACTAGTAATGACCGCTGCACCTGCTTTACTTTAATCCCATGTTATTGCCTCTCTCTAATGCCAGAGCACCAAGGTCTCAGCGTATAAAACAGGAATCATTGAGAAAACAAGGGTAATTACAGAGCCTGAATCCAGTGCTGTGCACTTGTGACAACTTTCCTGGAACACCTGGGCCTGTGCTAACACGGAAACACAGGAAAGTATTTGAAAGATAAGAAAAGAGCAGCCTGTGCTTTTGTTTTTAAACTATTTTGAGCTGCTTAGAATTTGCCTCTGACGTTTAGGCAGTCTAATGGGGCAGGCCCTGCTCCTGCATGTGGCTGTGTGTTCTCCTGTGCCTAGCCTTTAAAAGTCAAAGACCAGTCGTATTGGCAAAACATATAAATATAAAATATTTTCTCTCAGCAGACTACCACTGCTATAACATCTTTATTCCTATGTAGCGTATTATTTMAAATCCAACTATTTATATTTTAAATGGAATTCATTTTTCCATTTTCCAAAGTCATAAGATGACAACRTTAAACATTACTAAAAAGCTAAATTATCAAATAATAAAAATTGCTTTCTTTTTTTCTTTTTCCTCCATGTGGTCATACAGCATTCAAAATAAAATAGTTCATTTGTTCTCACGCATTTTATTCTGCCATTATATCATAATGCTACCCAGAAATAAAATATTTTAAAGAACACTAATAACTCCATAGACATCACTGTCAATATTTTGTTTGTTTGGGGGAGTATGATAATAATATGTGAAAAAGAACAGACTTTTACGTGAATTTGACCCTCTGTTGCTATAACAGAGCCAAGGTTTCTGCAAGGCCGTAAGCCCCGTGCTGCAGGGTACATGTTTTCTATCGCCTGTCACCTAATGTAACAGAAAGGGCTCGAGCGCAGCCAGCCCCACGTGGCCGAGCCCGTGAAGCAGTCCCGAGGCTTTCCCGTTTCTGTCCTGACAACACCAGCACTCACCACTCCTGCCTTTCATTTCCAACCAAAATACCAGTGAAGCATCTGCTGCGGTGCTGGCGTTTTGTTTTATTCTGCTTTGCTTTCTGTGGACGCTTCCACGCTAGGGGCTCTACGTCCCCAGCTCCTTGCACGAAAGCCACCACACGGGCACCAGATAAAACAATTTGGGGCCCTCCATAAGCGCAGCTGGGAACCGAATCACAACACCGCGCTCTAGCAGCAAGGGTTGTCACCCTGTTACCAAGCCCCTGCTCGCACCCAGCACCCACGCGGCGCCCGGCCCGCGCCTCCCTTCGCTCCCGCTCATCTCGCTGACCGGCTCCTCGGGAAGCAGCGAGGGGCCGAGCGGAGGCGCCGCCGCTGCCGCCTCGCGCCTTCCCCCCTCAAGCGGCAGGCGGCTGCGAGCGGGGCCCGCGGCGCGTAACGGCCGCCAACGGCCGCGCCGCGGCTGGGGCGCCCGCGCGAGCTGCCAATGGGGCGCGAGGGGCGGCCGGAGCTGCAGCCCGCGCTGCGCTCCGCGCCTGCCGGGCACGAGCGGCGGCCCCCGCGAGGGGCGGCGGGCCGGGCCGGGCCGGGCCGGGCGCGACCCCCGCGGCGGGCGGCGCCGCGCGGGGTGGGACGGGGGCGGAGGCAGCGGCGGGCGGGCGGGCTGGAGGCGGCCGCTGCCTCCGCCCCGCGCCCGCTCCGCGCCGGGACCGCGCCGGCCGCCTCGGCTCCGCCTGAAATACGGCAGCGCTTGCTTCGCCCCTCTCGCATTTGAACTTTTTGTTTTCACGCTGAACTTCCTCCCCTTCCCAGCCTGCCCTGGACTTACTATTATTATTTTTTTTTTCTTGGAGACTCTCTCTCACTTCTCGCTGCCATCCAGCGGCGGGCGGCGCGGGCATCATGTCCTTCAACTCCACCATGATGCCACCTGCGAACGGCTCCGCGAACGGGACGGCGAGCGAGGGCGGGAAGCCCCCCACCATCCCCACCGTCATGTTCATCTTCGGCGTCGTGGGCAACCTCATAGCCATCGTGGTGCTCTGCAAGTCCCGCAAGGAGCAGAAGGAGACCACCTTCTACACGCTGGTCTGCGGGCTGGCGGTCACCGACCTGCTGGGGACCTGCCTGGTGAGTCCGGTCACTATCGCCACTTACCTGCAGAACCGCTGGCCGGGGGGACCGGCGCTGTGCGAGTACAGCTCCTTCATCCTCCTCTTCTTCGGACTCTCTGGCCTCAGCATTATCTGTGCCATGTCTATAGAGAGGTACCTGGCCATCAACCATGCCTATTTCTACAACCACTACGTAGATAAGAAGCTGGCAGGGCTCACGCTCTTTGCCATCTATGCTTCCAACGTGCTGTTCTGCGCCCTCCCCAGCATGGGGCTCAGCAAATCCACCTTGCAGTACCCCGACACTTGGTGCTTCATAGACTGGCGAGCCAAGGAGGCCACGCACGCCGCGTACTCCTACATGTACGCCGGCTTCAGCTCCTTCCTCATCATGGTCACCGTGATCTGCAACATCCTGGTGTGCGTGGCCCTCATCCGCATGCACCGCCAGTTCATGCGGCGCACATCCCTGGGCACGGACACCACCTCCAGCCGCTTATCTGACTTTCGCAGACGCCGGAGCTTCCGTCGCATGGCCGGAGCGGAGATCCAGATGGTTATTCTGCTCATTGCCACTTCCCTGGTGGTGCTCATCTGCTCCATTCCTCTGGTGGTGAGTAACGTTGTGCAACCCTTCTCCTTTTCCATCACCCGCATTGCTGAGTCTCTTCTGCTGCCTGTCACATTTGGCCAGCGCTGCCAGCTGTCAGAATAACTTCAGTGCAGCAAATCTACCCATACAGTGATATAAACTTGTATTAGTTTGTATTTACAAGAGGAAAAGGAGCTTAAAATCCAGTGCCAGCAAACTTTTAAATATCTCTTCTTCTCTGTTTAAGCGGAATCCACAGAGCAGAAAACCCAGTGAGAGCTCAAGGCACTTCAAAGTTCACCTGTAAAATTAACTTGTGATGAGTGAGGCTTGGGGCTAGCCTGCATTTCTGCATAGTACTGTGTTTTTTAAAGATGTGCACACTGGTGCTGAAGGGCTCAGGATTCATTACCGTGAAAGAGGAGAATTCCGTGCATGTGGTATCACCAACAAACTTCATGCTTGCACCCTGACACTAAACAGAGTTTCCCACCCTGATGTATTTGCTGTCTTTGGGGTAGATCCYACCACAACCCCCCAAACAGAGAGGGCTTAAATCAGTGAAACCACTTGCTGGTATAATTTTTCAGTTAAGAGAGAGATCAAGAACTTGGCCCACATAAGCCTCAAGATCGCACCAAACTGTCAGACAACATCACCACTAATCACTTGCTAATTTCCTGAATCAGCTGATACTGTAATTGTCATTGAACCCAACGTGTGGGATCCACTTTCTTGTTTTCCTCCACCTTATCCCCAAGGAAGAGGGGGGGRAAGGAAGAAAAACAATAGGGCTCTGGGCTGGGTTCCTGCCTGCCACCCACCATTATAAAGCTTGGCGAAGGTCTCTCCTCTTCTGGCGCGGAGACGTTAAACAAACAGTTGGCTTGCCGAGCTCACCACCTTCCCAAACTTGACCCGGGAGCCCAGCAGCAGCTGTTAGACAGAAAGTGGTTTCAGAAGATGGTTAATTATGAGGGGAATTATCGCAGGYAGGAACGTTCCTGCGGTAGTCCTGCAGTAGAGGGGTTACAAGGTGTGGGAAATACACTTGGCCAAGTAGTGTCAAGAAAAATAGCACTGTRTAAAATGCAACATGGAGATTTAGCAGAATCATCTGAAGGTGTTTGCGAGGTCAGTGAGTCCACCCCCCGCTCCAGAGGCGGCCCCAGTTGTCAGGGACAGGCCAGTTTAGCCACATTACTGGCATATAGAGCAGGCAGTGAAGTGTGGCTGCGCTGCCGCGGGTTCTCCCGCTGCCACCCGAGCCTCCCGTCCCCCAGGGCTGTCATTCCGCCCGGCACACGGAGCACTGTCCCTGTGCCCATTGCCGGGTCGCGCTGTTGGGGCTGCTCRGGGGGTGTCTGTGTGGGGGGCCTGTCCAGCAGCACCAGGATCCGGCTCTGCTCCTGGGCTGCATGGCCAAGGACGGGGCCTGAAACCAACCCTGCAGCAGCCATTTCACAAGGGAATGATACGGTATTTCCAGAAGAGATGCCGGTAAATACAGAGAATAGCTCCTGGGAATTGAAAACRGTGGTGTAAGGCATTACAGGATATCAGTTAATGGGCTGCAGCAGCTCTAGAAAAAAAAACAAGCCTGTAGCTCCTGGAGGAAGAGCTGAGGGAGGCTGAGAAGTCCGCGTGTAAAATACAAAATTAAACTGTCTTTATTCATTAGGAGCTAGGCAGCCTCCTACAGAATAGCTTTAAAAAAGTGGGGGGAGGGACTACCAGAAAGAGAGCTGGATTGTTGACAATTAAAATTAATGAACCTGGGTGGGGTGAAAGGTTTATTATTTAAACAGTTGCTGGTGGATAACTTGCATATATCAGGTGGTGTGTGAAAGWGCAGGTGATGAAGTTCTGCACTTCTCTCAGACCTTGATTCCCCCTGCTTTAAAATGCACCCTGTTACCTTGGGACACATGTTCACACATGTCAGCTTCTCACAGATAAAGCAGCACACCTTTTCTCTATTTAAGATGAAATTAGAAACTTGGTCATTTCACTGTGCTTGTATTTCACTTAGAAGCACATTTTAAGAAAAAAAAATGAAAAAAGAAAACCAAAAAAGCCACATATGGATTAATCATTACAATGTCCAGTATGATGAAGTTATGTTATTACAAAAGTAGCTTAAGTAATTTGCCTCTCCTTGTGGGGAGAAGGCTATAGCCGTACATTGCACGTTAATACCACAACTTGCTACCGTGCAAACCGCTTCATGCTGCACCCTCTGCTGCACSTTTCTTGCACACAGATTGAGCTTATGAGTTCCCAAATAAGTTAAGAAGTAGTCACAGAAGCAATATCTCTGCAATATAAGTCCTTAGAGAGACTTGTATATCTAGTCCCTAGAAAGATGAATATAGGTCCCTCTTTCTCAGGGGCAGCAAGATCACCCATGTGTATGTACGTTTTTAATGACTCAAAGGAATTGTGCAAAATTAAACGTGAGAGCTCTTCCAGCAAAGGAGGAAGAGAAGCAGYCTGACAAACACACAGAAAAAGTGCAAGTAGCAAGTGGCGGTGGCGGCAAAGTTTGGTTATATAAAGCAGGCAGTGTGTGCTTTGGGACTTACCTTTTTCTGATGGCTGATTTCCTACTGATGATTTAAACTGAATAAACTCAAGTTAAGAAAAAGCAACTTATGAAAGAGACCCAAAACTAACTTTTTTTTTAGAATTAAAAATTATTTTGTAATTTCACGAAATTGTAGACAGAAGTGATCTATGGGGCTATATTTACTAGAGTTTGACCAAAAATCTTAGTCTTGAAATATGAATTAAACCTGAAATAGTACGTAAAGGCTTGTCTCGAGTTGAAGTGTATAAAGAACAGCAAACTGAGTCACAGAGAATGGCAGTTTTTAGCAATGAGGCACTCCAGCCCGCAGTTGAAGCTGTCAGTGTTTTAGTGATTTATTCTGAAAATCAGCACATTTTTATGACAAGTGCTTTAACAAAATTATGAAGGATTGTCTAAAATGAAGCTGACAGGACTGAAAGGTGATCAAATTTATCCATGATAGCATTGACAGAAATGGGTATTAGTGAAAGCAAACTTGCCATATAACCTGATGTGATGTCAATATGCAGGAAAGCAATGTGGAAGGCATGGGGAAGAATCTGATAATAGTTTAAAAATGAAATAAGAAAAAAAAATGTACTAGGCTCTTATCTGCATTCCGCTTTGTTTATCTCACTTTTCTAAAAAAAATAAAAATCAGATATACTTAAAAGTAGGGAATAAGTTATATTCAGAGAGAGTTCATGAGAAATCTGTTCTTTAAGGACATGAACATTTTCTGATTCTGACGGCTGAAAACTGTTGTCAAATCAAGGGGAAAGAGAAGATATAAAACAGCATGTTTTAGATCTCATTGACCACATGAAAGAACTAGGAATTTAACTTCATGTTTGATGGATGTGAAAGTTTGGATTTGGCTTGGCTTGTTGGGCTGTGTCTTCTCGGCAGTATCAGGGGCTGCACAGGCAGCAGCAAGGAGGCAGGCAGAGTTTGGGAGCCATGGGGCGATCTAGAGCAGGCACCAAGCCCTTGGAGGACAAAGGTTATTGGCTTGGAGAGCTGAAAAACTTGTTTCCTCCTTACTGCTGTACCGCTTTCAAAGCTATCAGCATGTGTGGCCATACATTGTGAGAACAGCTGGAGACTACAGGGACAACTATTCCTCTAATCATTCTATGCAAGTCACTATATATATATATATATATGTATATATATATATATATATATATAACAAGTCACTTGACAGTACGTCATAGGAATAGAAATTGTGATTGAGTTTGTATTTTGTAAACAAAAAAGGGGGAGCAGCAAACAGCACAGGGCTCTAGTTGATCCTACAATTACCTATATATATATATATATATAACTATAACAAGTCACTTGACAGTACGTCATAGGAATAGAAATTGTGATTGAGTTTGTATTTTGTAAACAAAAAAGGGGGAGCAGCAAACAGCACAGGGCTCTAGTTGATCCTACAATTACCTGTCACTTGAAGATAAACTTATACAATTGTGAACAAGCTGCTAATACTTTTAAAACATATTCCCCAAGTCCTACAGGAAACAAATACAAATTCCATGCCATGGRTATTTTTTTCTTCTAGGTTGCTTCTTTCCTTAGTTCAATTGAATTAAGTCGAAGAACATGAATTAAAATTCACATTGCCTATATTCAAGCACCAGATTAGCTTCTGAGCGTGAAGAAAAAAAAAAAGATTTTTTTTTTATCATGTTTTGATTAAGACTCAATCCAACCAGGAAGCCTGAGTTGCAGAATGCCTTTAAGGTTCTGTGGGCTTGTGGCCGTTAAGAGCTGGCTTAACCTTTCTGGCAGGTTGAAGTAGCTGTGCACAGGCTGTTTCCCTACATAGGGCCGTGTTAGGAATCATTTACCCACATATCATGCACCTGTCAAAAGGATATAAAGTGCCCAGAGATACAGATGTGCTGCGCAGTTAGACACTGTCCTTTCCAGCCACTGAACCAGTATTTAAATAGTTTTGTCTTTCCTTAAGCTCTGCCAGACAGAGTGCTAGGAAGGTGAATAAGATACCCTCATTTCAGATTTTCCTTATGAGAACAACCAACCCATAATTAAATTTCTAATGTACAGAAATCTATAGACACATTAAAAAAAAGGAAAAGAAAGAACAGAAAGCTCCATGAAGTTGGACTATGTACTTCTTCAGCTATCAGAGTATAACTTCTGACTCTGTGATCTGGGTGCATTTATCAGTAAATATCCCTCTCTATCACCCCTCTAATCTTCCTGGTAATTACTGCAGCTAGTAGTATTGGCTTTTAGAAGGTCTCCACTCCCACAGTACTGTCCTTTGGACTCATAGCGCTAAGGGCAGGTACCTGTTCAACAGAAATGATCAAATGCTTTGGCCAGCATTTACACACCTCCAGGATGTATCCTGCTGCAGGAGGAAAGTCTCCTTACAGAATATAGGGAGGAAAGTTTGGAAAGAGCTGTAATGTAACTGCAAATCCTGTGTTAAAAATAAAATAAAAATAATTAAAAAAAAAAAAAAAACCCTTTATCTCACGCCAACTTTCCATCGTTCTGACTCTGTAGCCCCGACTGCCGCCTTTGGGGTTCAGAGCCTGTGTCAGAAAGGAGCAGTTTTACTTGCCCGAGCTTACAAACCAGCTCAGGAACCTTCCAGGGCTCTGCGGAGCGGATGTGCGGCAGCGCCCGGGGCTGTGCGCGCCCTCTGGTTCCCCGCGGGGCTGCGTCCCGC